AGCGGAGGAGAGAAGGTGAAGAGACGGAGGGACTAGACCAGGGCGAGGGATTCCGTGCAGGGGATCTGGCATGGCGATGGATTGGCAGAAGGGCAGAGGCGTCAGAACTCCTGGAATTTAAAGCGAGAGAGAGAGTCAGCAAGACAGTTAGGTGACGAGGGACGTGACGAGCAGTGATGATAAATTGTTCAGGACTGAGAGCCATGTGATGCGTCTAAGGAGGATGTGATTTGGGGAGAGGATGAACGACCTCTGTTAATTATTTCAATGACGTCGAGGTTGTCGCACGTCACGGAAATCCTTTCCTATGCCACGTATGGTTCCGCAGCACGCAGGCTACGGTCACGGGATATATCTCGTGGAGCGCGGAGGAGATGCTTCGAGGGAAAGCGTCGGGCCGGGGCCGCTGGCGAACCACTGGTCCTGGAAAAACCCCCAAAACCCACGGACGGGGCTGCGTCCGTGAAGAACCGCGGGGCATCTGAGACAGGATGATGTCACTGTAAAAAAAAGAGATACACCATCCCAGCGGCTCTGCAGACGGGACCGGAACGCCAGGTCGGAGCGGCGCCCCGCGTCCGGGCAGACAGCATCGTTGAGGGAGGAGACGGAGCCGGCGAGGGAGAGGAGTCTGGAATTAAAAGAACGACCTTGGGGAATGATACGGACGGCATAATGAAGATGCCCGAGGAGGGAGAGCAAGGACCCCTCGAAGTGACGGGAAGGCCAAGGCAGACCGGGAGAAACGCGGATGCGTTCGAGCTCGTCCAGCGGGAGGGAGGCCTCCATGGCGCGTGTGTCGAGGCGGATGCCGAGAAACTCCAGAGCGTTGGCGGGGCCTGTGGTCTTTCTGGAGTGGAGGAATCCGAGGGCAGAGAAGGCGGGCCTGAGCTTGCGGAGAGAGCCCCCGGAGCAGTCTGAGGGTGGGTTGACTACGAGGGAATCATCGGGGAGATGCGGGACAGAGGGGAGCCGCGCGTAATTAAGCAGAATCCGACACGGCGCCTCCGAGAGATTGTTGAACAGAGAGGGACTACTCCGGCAGTCAAAGGTGAGGCGCACTGCGAAGAAGAACTCCGACGCCACTTGACCCCTGAACAGCGCCAGTGGTCGGGGTGGATGGCAGCAGCTTGAACGCGTCCGGGATGACGGCCTTGGAGAGCCAGGAGCCGGGGCCGAAAGTCTTTATCAGCCTGATCGCGTGGTCCATGGTAGCGGACTGCAGGGAGAAGGGCGCTGGAGGGAAGGGGCTGTGGATGCTCGGGCGGGCCCGGAGCGGGGACAGGAGAGGACGAGTATGAGACGCGTCTTCCTGGAGTGCTTGCGGGTGGCGATGCCCATCGGGTTAGAGCGAGACGGAGAGAAGGGGCCAATGACGTAGCCCACGGACACCTCCCGCGCCCGAGCCGCGTGCCGACTTGGGGCTCACGGAGAGCCGGGAAGAGGTTGCGGGACACGAGACGCCGAGGGACCTAAACAGAGCTTGCAGTCTAATGTGAGGGATTTAAATAGAGCTTGCAGTCCAAAGTGAGGTATTAAAACTGAGCCCGCAGTCCAAGTGAGGCGTTTAACGGAGAGCCTGCAGTCCGGTGCGAGGGAGTTAAACGACCTGTAGTCCGAGGTGAGGGATTAAACTGAGAGCTTGTAGTCCAGGTGAGGGATTCAACATAGCCCGCAGTCCTAAAAGAGGGATTTATAACTGAGAGCTTGAAGTCCAAGTGAGGGATTAAACCGAGAGCTGCAGTACAGTGTGAGGGATTTAACAGGTTTTACGGTCCAAGTGAGGGATTAACTGAACCCGCAGTCCAAGTGAGGAGTTTAAACCGAAAGCCTATAGTCCAGTGTGAGGGATCCAACAGAGCCTGCAGTTTTTTATTTTATTTTTTATTTTTTATTTTTTTTATTATTTATTTATTTATTTATTTATTTATATTTATTTATATTTATTTATATTTATATTTATTCATATTTATGTTTATTTATATTTATTTATATTTATTTATTTTTATATATAAGCGTTCCAGATATGAGCAGTACCATATTTTTCTTCTTTTCCTGTCCAGAGGGATTTAAACGGGGCTTGCAGTCCAAAGTGAGGGATTAAAACTGAGCACGCAGTCCAATGTGAGGGATTAAACTGAGATCTTGCAGTCCAATGTGAGGAATAACGGAGCTTGCAGTCAGAGTGAAGGATTTAACGGAGCTTGGTTAAGAGAGCCTGCAGAACAATGCGAGGGCTTTAAACTGAAGCTTGCACACCAATGCACGGGGCCAACTGAGCCTGCAGTACAAGCGCGGGGCCAACTGAGCCTGCAGTACGATGCGAGGGGAATAAACCGTCCGCAGGTCTCATACTTACCCACAACGCCAGAAGACAAGGGACAACACAACGGGACCACGGCGTACCGGCACGAGGAGGCAGGGATGCGCACGGCTCCCACCGCACCGGTCCAGACCGGCCGTATGCAGCAGCAGGCCGCGACGAGACGAGCAGCGGCGAACCCGCAGAAAGAGCCCGCAAAGGAGGAGAGCGGCAAAGACCCACAGACCACAGCACGAGACCCGCAGCAGGTGCAACCACAGGAGGAGCAGACCACACGCAGCAAGACAGAGGACAGCAGGGACACATGCAACGAGTAAGCGTGAGTAGACAAAAGCGATTCCTCCAGAACGATTCATGCAAGGCTTCGAGAAGGCCGAGAGTGGGAGTTTCTCCGCTTTTAAGCGGCTTGCCTGGCCGGTCCGGTGATTGGAAGGGGGCGTTTGCTGTGCGATAGGCTGGGGATGAGAACCGGCCTGGAGGGGTTACCTTTGGCTGACGTCTACCAAATTGAATTTCCGCTGGCTGCATTTCATGGATCTGGAGATTGACATGGATCTTGATTTTCAGACGACATTTTGTCTCTGTTGATTACTGCACTTTTACCCATGATCCCTCAGTTATCAGGGGTGATATTTGTGTGTGACAATGGCAATGAGTTAAGTGACTCCAGAACACTCTGTTGTATGATGTGCCGCACAGAGGTTCCATTATTGATGCCTTGCTCTGACCCACGGCGGTTGCGGCTCGGAGGCCGCGCAGCGTTAACAATGGTGAGTTTGGGACACGCTCACTGATGCATACGGCACGACCAGGTAGAGCCAGCGCTGCCTCCGGGGGCCCACCAGTGTGTGTGTGTGTGTATATGTGTGTGAATGAGAGTGTGTGGTGTCTCTGTGTGTGTGTGTTTATGAGTGTTTGTATGTGCATGCTGAGTGTGTGTGTGTACAGTGTACAGTTTTATTATTGACCTTTGGTTTAGTTAGTCACCAAATCTCAAATGAGGACATATCATGCAAATCACATTTGAGCTTTTAAACATGAGTGGTGTCTGCTATTATTATTATTCCTAATTCTACATAGATTTATGAGTATTCATATGTATAGAATGTGATGGGACATAATAGCCCTCAATTGCAGAGACTGCTGACTCTACTGACCATCTATCAGTCATGAGAGAGACGTGACGTCTGGAAGACAATAGGGACCCTCATCTGCATCTCGGCAGAGTATGTGCCATGGGGTTGGCAGGAGAACATCCTGTGAATGTATGGTTTGTTAAAGTTTGTCTTGTGACTCTCCTAAATACTACAAGAGCCCACTGCTTTTATGTGTTCGGGGTCTTTCTGCTTTTCTATCTTGTCAGGGACCCAGGCTTAGTCTGTAATGTTTATGCTACTCTGTTTATATACACTAAACCTTCTTTATTAGCAGAAGGTTCCAAGACCAAGCAGAGTCTGAGCTTCCACGTTTTTTGCCCTGTGGACCCTGCCATTCTCACTCTTCTCACTATTATTACGACCTTATCCATGAAAATATTTACTTTGGCCATTCTTGTTTAATAATGTGAAATAAATGAATTTTAGATAAAGATTTAAAACATTTCAGCATTAATTATTCACTTCTGCCACAAGAGGAGATTTTGTTGTCTTCTATTTTTAAGAGCTCAAGGCCCCTGTGGGTTTGGGGTCACAGGTCATTTGAAAGACTAATTTTCAAGTTCAAAGCTGTGTTCAGTGACTTAAGTAAAACCAACACTCCGACTGGCCTGTGATGTCACATTCAGGGTGGAAAGCACATTGCGGAAGTGGGGGGCGGGCTTTAAAAGCAGATTCTTTAACATCAGTGCGGCTTCACGGCGTGAGTCCCGAGATCCTCCAAAGACGTCAGATTACGAGGAGCAACACCATCTGCTCAGGGAGCTGCACCAGAATGAGCACCGGTACTTCCTCCTCTGTGCGATCGTGTCAGCAGCAATTGTTTAATCCAGGCATATGTCCACAGTCACTGCGGCCTCCTTTTTCAGTCTTGGCTCAGTCCTGAAATGATCCTGGTTTAGTTCTGGTTTAGTCCTGGTTTAGTTCTAGTAAAGTCCTGTTTTTATTGTCCTGGTTTAGTTCCTGTTTTAACTTTGTCTTCTTCCTGCTCAAAGCGGCTTGTCTCCCGAGCTGTATTGTGCTGCTTTATGATTGGTTGAGCTGGTTGGTTCATCTCGTACCATGAGTTGCCTTACTCATGCAATTATTCCCACCACCGCACTGCACTAGGATAGGTGGGCACAGGGTTTTAGGCAATTGTGCTAAATTAGAATCTGAATTGTAAAAATAAAACATGTTTCATCAACACCTTCACAAAGCTTTAAAGTGACGGTTTCCATATTATGTGTCCTTTAAGGTAGAAGTAACGGATGATTATTAATGCACTCATTCTTTTCTACAGTGTCTGCATGTGTTGGTACGAGGCCACTGCCTCCCGGCAGCTCACAACAGGGTACCTTTAATTCAGCTCAAACTCCATCTTCCAAATAGCTGAATATTTAATAGTATTAAAAGAGCTGTATTATTTAGCCGCTCCCCAGCGCGTGCGCTGCTTCCTCAGACGCCAGGTGGTCCCCGTAAACACGCTCCAGCCGACACGTGCACTGAATTATTGACTGATAATTTATCATAATTCATGTCAGAGAAAACTCAATCAGGTTTGGATGGAGGCGCAGGTGACCCAGGCACGGCGGCACGCCAGCAGGAGTCAAGGTCACAGCCGCTAGCGCGCACACCGCTTATGTTACACCCAATAAATACATTTGTTTGTATGCATTTTGTAACAAAACACAGAATAAACACTATTATCCCACAGTCAGTGCAGATTCCAATACAATCTACCTTTGGTTTTCACTAGAACAGAGCTTTTAGCTGTGGAAGGGTAATACCCCATGTGAATTTTTTTCTTTATTCAACTTTTGCCATTTTTTGTTGACAACTAACATTATATGACCTGGACTGGTCCTGGACTGGTTAGGAACAAGTGGTTCTGGGTCAGCTTGGTCTTCCACCAGAAAAGTTGCCATAGCAACACACTGTTGACTTGCAGCAGTTAGCATTTGGACGCCTGGAACTGTTTTTGTTATATTATCACTTGAGTATCAAATGAGTTACTTAAATGAGTAAAGTTTATTTGGCAAGATGTTGAGCTAAACATGGTAAATATTTATAGTTTTGTCAAACCGCATGGGCTAAATCTCGGAAAACTGTTATCCTCGGTCTGCTGTCTAAAGTTCATGACAACGGTTACTAAGGAGCTTTTGCTGGCGCTGGGCTTATAAAACGTGTTTTTGAGAGAGGTTGGAAGAGTTTATAAAGTGAGGGTGTGACAAGTGTATTGTCCCTTATTGATCTGAGTTCTGAGTTCTCTCCTGGTTTTTTTGATTGCATCTTGTAACTCACTGTCTTTATAAACAAATGTTTGTGCCTGAAAAACAAAAAAGCTGTGTTTATATTTTTGTGCAGTGTGATTCATGAAAAAAAGTACACAAAAGATGTATGCGGCATTACCATATTAATGCATGTATTAACAGGTAAATAACAGTTATTACAGAATAGAATACAATAAATTACTTCATATTTTGACCTCAAGGACAGAACACGCACACGCACAGAGACACAAACACACACAGGGACACAAATAGAGACACTCACACACACACAGTGTGTGCGCCCTGTACACACAAACACACACACCAGACACATTGACTTTAAGTTGAACCTTTACTTGTGTTATACTTATTGAATCCTTCTGACTTTGTCCTTCAGACTTTATGCCACAAACACATTTCCTCCAGGACATAATAAATGTATCTTCAACATGGACACATTGATATATAATTCCACACACAACACACGATGCAACACACGATGCAAAGAATATATACTAAATATCACATACTCATACAAACTCCGTGAGACATGCAAGAATTATGTAAGTCATCGCAACTCCTACCACTTAAAAAGAGCTCTTTGTGGTCTCTCTCTCTGGGCTCTCTTGGGTTCGACCCTGTCTATTGAAGATTCGGAAGACGTATATATCTTTGGCATTCTGGTGGTGGGGATCCTCCTGTTTGGGTTTGGAGCGGTTCTCTTCTACCACAAATTCGGAGGCATGGCAGTTCGCAAGATTCACGAGCTGTTGGCCAACAAAATTGATGGGATGTACAAGGAGCTTAGCCCAGCCGCGGCGCCAGGGGTAGGCCTGGGTAGGCCGGTGCCTACCAGTTTTTTTCTTGGCCTACTCAAATTTGTTCTTCGCCTCTCAAGTCATTAGCCTTTTTTATTAAAAGTCATAATTTAAATATTGTTATTTTTAAACACAAATTATTGCTAATGCCTAAATATTGCGTTCTAATGTTTTAAGAAAATATAACCCCCTGAGCGTCATCACGTTCCTACGTTGCTTCAAATATAGTCCTGTTTATTGGCTGAACAATTTTGTCCAATAATCTGCATGATCATATCACACAGCGTGAAGCGAGAACAACCAGCTATTCCTCGTCTTAAAGATTGACAACGCTCTCAAAGCATTCACAACAGAGCAGCCTTTTTCATTTTAATTTTAAGACAGTTCAGCGTGAACTTTGTGAGGTAGAGTAGCCAGAGGCCCGGGCCCGTAGGTCCCAGAGGAGGAGGGTCAGGCCAGGCTCGCCTCGCACTGATGAGGTAAACTCTAGGCCTGTGTGAGACTCACTGTGGGCCTCATGTATGAAAGGTGGTGTAAATCTATACGCTGATCTCAACCTTCGGCACAGCACGCCAAAACACGCATGAAATTCAAGATATGGACAACAATAAACATATTCCATCTGGCAAAATTTATGCTGTGTTTTCATTGAGGATCATGTTTCAAAATTTGAATTTGCGCATCAGAAAAAGTCTAATGGAAACACGCAAACTTCGAATAAATCACAGCTCATGATGAGGACCCTCTATTAAATCTGACTTGTGTGTGTATTATTTTGATCTGTATGTTTTTAAAATGTGAAGCGCTTTGTGATCCTGGACTGTCAAAGGCTCTATATAAATACACTTTACGCAACAGGGATGTATTGCTCACTCACAAATGTCTCACTGCCCTGTCCAGAGTGCGCAGCGAGTGCCGTGAGAGGTCGCGCCACATGTGCAGAAGTTTTGGCTCCAGAGTTTCTTTGTGAAATCTGGACCGCAAACGCTCTCTGAAGTGTACAGCGCTTCAATGCGCACTTCTACCCCGAGCCAGGCTGCGTCCAAGACGCTGCAGACGCTTCATTCAGAGCCACCGCTGCATAATATATATGAATTATTCATTCATTCAATCAATCTATATTTATTCACTTCTACAATTCAAGAAGGATTTTTCTAATGTATCAAAACATTTTGGCAAATTTGTTCAAAACACAGCTGAATATATAGCGCATATTTATTATTACATAAACATGAACAAACAAACGTGCCTTTTGAGGCTTCCAAACAGTCTTTTTGGCTAGCTTCCTGCTGATCTGTCACGAAGACGTGGCGTGAAACACGCGATTGCTGCATAATTCTAGGCGTGACTAAATACGTTCGTATTCAGCCGATTCATCAACACCCGCAGCTGCGTACGCTCAGAACTGGGCGGATCTCACATGTTCATAAATCCGACGTTGGATTTTGCGTAAATGGAATATACACCCAAAATGTACTTTTTCTACGCAAGTTTCATAAATGAGCGTGTGTGTATGTGCGCGCGTGAGTGCGTGTGCGTGCGTGTGTGCGTTTGAACCATATTCTTTGAAACCCCAATTCCAGTTAGCCTTTGTAGTTTGCAAGCGAATTTGGCCTACTTACTAATCTGCAGGCCTACCCAAAATTGCAAACCTGGCGCCGCTACTGGCTTAGCCGCGTCGTGGTTGAGAGCGCCGTGTCTGGACAAAGGAGAGTGGTGTTGGTGGAACAGTTGATAAAAGACCTCGCAGCTCGTTCACTCGAAGGGAATAAAACATTGGAGATGAGATTGAATGACATTGTGTGCCAGGCTTGAACTCTCTGACCCGGCTTGGATTTGCCCCTGTGTACGGGGTCTGAGGGCGCCGCAATTCGGTTTAATTGGATTTAATAGAATATCTGCCTGCTTTTAACTGCTACATTGCATTTAATATTGTCCCTCTCAGGCGATGTGTTTTTCTCCTGCTGTGTCTTCTCTCCACTCTTATCTCACGTTCCTCGTCCAAGGCCATAAAACAAGGTCCCATCTACAACAATCTCACACTATTTCAGTCTCCAGCAAGGATCCCGCTCCCCCCGCCTCCCTCTACCTATCCATCTTGCTCCCTCCCTCCCCTCCATTCCTTATTGTTTTCCTACTCACCCCCTCCCTGATCCCGCCCCCCTCTGACAGCCACATTGGGCCGGCAGTCGGAGGTGCTCATCCCGAGAAAAAAATCCGTGGTTTATACAAAGCACAATGTGTCTATCCAACTGTCTGTGAAACTGTGTGTTATTGCTCTCTGCTGTTTCTTGCTGCACACAGCGCCGCAAATGGCGAAGTGGCACGTTCTCTGCCAAAACAATTTCCAAGTGGTAACTTTGTCACTTACGTGGCAATAAAAATGATTCTGATTCTGATTCTGAAGAATTACATAAGTCATCGCAACTCCTACCACTTAAAAAGAGCTCTTTGTGGTCTCTCTCTCTGGGGTTCCTCCCTCTGATCTCCCTCTCTCATCCCTTTCTCTGATCTCTCTCTCTCGTCCCTTTCTCTGATCTCTCTCTCTCGTCCCTTTCTCTGATCTCTCTCTCTCGTCCCTTTCTCTGGTCTCTCTCTCAGGTCCATCATTATGGTCTCACTCTCTCTCCCTCTGGTCTCTTTCTAGTCTGTCTCTTGTCCGCTCTTACTCTCGACTTTCCCTGGCATCTCCAGAAGTGACATATTTTATAGTGGTAGGACTTGCACTTGCATATGGCGTCTGACTAAATACTTTTTTTGCCCCACTGTAAGTCTGGAACCACTAACAGAGCTCTACTGTAAGTTACCAAAAGTAGCCGTATGCACGCGGGTGGCCTCTCGGGCTAACTTTGCGTCCTCCATTTTGTTCCGTCTCCTTGTCCAGCTGCGTTGGTCGTCATGTGGGCTCCTCGTGCATCAAATCAGTGTTTATGTAAATGCATGAATATATTAGCTTGTGGACATATTTTAAATCCTTCCTTGGTGTGCTGTGAGTCAGGCGTGGGCGCGCGCACATCATTTGTCTGTCTAAACACTCTCGCCTGCACGCTTTTACTCCCATCAATAGGGATTAATGAATTGATTGAGCGATGAAAAGGCCACGCAGCATATTAGAGCAAAACCGGTCTCGGATAGACTTTGTTCACAGATCATCAGAATAGTATCCCATACAGTATCTGGCAAAATACCTTTATTATTCATTAACCGACAGCCGAACACGCTACGGCTAATGCCACGCACAATCCAGATGTCACCGGCAGCCAACGCAACATTTCTTAATAGGATTGTGGATGTGTAGCGATTTGTTCGAGCCCAAATATCCCGGCACTTACGCTACAAATATAGCTCTGGCGGAACAAAAATGACAAAATAGTCAATAGGATTAGCCATGGTGTAAGCTAAACACGGCTTGATGTCATCGATAACGGGATTGTCGATTCTTGGTCCGGGTAACACGCGTGGAAGATTGCGCGGCTGTCATTGTCTTTGCGGGTTGCGTGATATCGTGTTGTCAATCTGGGCCCCCTCCTGCGGCCG